AAAACCACATGAAATAACATGATATAACATAACATGATCTTTGCTACTGATTTCTATCAAAACTCATGAATTATGCTCGATGGACTCGAAGGACGCGCGCGCCGTGCACGCGGTTTCGGCGTTAAGCCTATCCCTCGACTAAACATGAAATTCCCTCGGCAACTAACACATAGCTGAACATAAAACGCTATTTACTGAACAAATTGTCATGAATGATTACTAGATTGCTACTTAACCGTATTGCTACGCATGATTGGCCTGTGGTGCGCGCTACATGCGCGACCACGCTCCTTAGACCGACTTAACGATTACACATGAAAATTCACCGAGCAACATAATCTGACTGAACATGATATGACATAAGTTAACTAATTTCATGAAATTGCTCGAGAGATTCGGATTAAAACATGAACATGCTCGACTTATACTCGCATGGCCGAAAGCACATAAAAACGAACTCGTGAAATTGACTTGGACCCACCGAGCCAACATGATTCTAAAACATAAAAAGAAGGTAAACCGAGGTTACCTCTTGAACGCTCGGCTGATCGCACAAGATGTCTGACCTTTCGGAGCTCGGTGCTTTCGTGCTACTACGTGTCATGCGGTACTCTCAGCGTGTGTGCTTATACCGTGTGCCTCGTGTGCGTACTCTGCGTGCGTGTGTGTAGCTGAATTTGCTAATTGCTTCTCCTTACTACTCTCTATAGTTTTAATAATAATATATATATGTAGGTGTAAATATGCTCCAAGTGTGGGAAAATTTTCCAACTTCTCTACATATATATATTACTATTGCCGAGAGATAAGGTAAGGAAATGAAAAGAGGATTACACATGTCTTAAGCTTAAGAGATTTATATACTAGTCATCCCTTTAGCATGCTTAGTCACACCTTCTAAATTAAGGTTGTGACACCTCATGCTTAAATAATAGAGAAGAAATCCATGAATTTCTCCACACACTTGCTCACGGCACTTGAGAGAAAATGGAGCATAATTTGAACAATTTTTCATGACTTAACTCTTAGTAACTTATCATGATAATTTCCTCATAAAACTCTCCACTATCACGGCAATTTAGTAAACTTTGGACATGATTTGATTTACTAATGACTTAAACATAAGCATGATATTAATTTAACATAATTAACATGCTTAATTACCTGACTGGAATAATTAATTTCGAACATAAACTTGATATTCGAAAATCAATTCGAATATTCATGACTTGGACGATTAATTCGAATATTGATATTTCGAATTATTCGTCAACTTAAACTATTAATTCCGAACTCATTAATTAATTAAATAAGTCGGAATTAAATCTGAAAACTCATTCGGTTACTGAAATAATTAAACCGAATAAGTTATCGACTAATAGTCGAATATAGAACATAACTGACTGACTAACCTGTGAACATGAACCTGATTATTTATCAATAAAGGCTAGCTTAAAACTAAAAGCTAGTATTTTCCTTTATTAATAAAACTCGGGGCGTTACAGCATAGATACGTCATCGGTCCGACGATATAATCATGTTGGCCCTCCCACATTTGGATGGTCGATTTCCACCTTCGAGACCGAACCTATCTCATTGAAGTATTTGTCGTGCAACATACAACACTAGTTTTAGACAAAATGGTGCCGTTGCAGCATGAAAAATGGTATGGCACACACTTCGATTCACACTAGTTTTCACACTTGCACTACATTATAAGAACATGTTAATGAAGACAGCATAATGTGTACGCTTTGTTCATGAAATTCAACAGCATTCAGCGATCCATTTAAGAAATCGGCAATCACAAAAAATTGAGGGGATGGGAAAATAAGGAATAAAAAACAGGGAGTTCCTCATTCAAATAAAATGCAGTCTATTATTTGAGAAACCCTTTAACCATTTTACAATTACTGACTAGACTACACATTCTATAACAAGCTAGTGGTCAATCTGTCAAACTTTTGTGCAATTTGTCGATGATTACAGCATTCGTAGACATCAATCAGTGACCGTATAGTTCTCATTATTGTGTCCCTTTTCTGTTTCATAGACACCACGTGTTTCGCCTCATCAAACGAGTTACTTGTTTCCCCAAGTGATGAGCACAAATCCTTAATCCAGACCTCGAGAAATGATGCTTTCTACAAAAAAAATAATAAATAATAAATAAATAAAATACTTGATCCTATATTACTCAATGTCTCGATCAACAATTACAAAATAAAATTTACATAAAGGGACCATGTAGCAAACATATAATAGAACGGAGGTGTGACCAACTACATAAATAAGGTTCGTGAACCATAAATGAATCTTACTTTTACTAGAAAACCTTGTATAGCTTGGTGGTCGGACTTGGCAGCAAGACTTAGCAGATGCAACATGGTTGAAGTCAACTGTAAAAAACAAAAATTGCCAAAACAAATGTTTACCCCACAAGCCATATTTATACGGAATTATTAAAAGTAAGTGAAATCCAAAGAAACTACAAAGAATGCCTGCTACAAATGGACATGATAGGCTATAACCCCTTTTGGAAACTCGTAACAATATCAACTTACGCGAACCTTTTGCAGACTTGTTTGCGAAAGAAATTTCAAAGAACTGTACTTTTTGGTAAAAGATATTTGAAAAGGCCAAATCCAAATGAAAAGGCTTTCATCAATACGGCAGTGAAATCTTTAGTAGCGATTTCACAATGTTTCCAATTCGTTCAAAAAGAAGCTAGCAACAACACCACACTAGTTCATGTAATTTCCTCAATCTGACCTGCTTTTCAAGCACGACCCAATATTTGAAATTAGAAGGCTCTGAAATCTTATCAGATTTGAAGTTCTCAACTACATGCTCCACACTTTTGACTACATCGTAATATGATTTTCCATAATCTGCACCATCCAGATAGCATATGAGTTAGGATGAAAGAAACGAATGATTGACAAACCATAATTGACACGATCAACATTCCACTTTTAAAAAGGGAGTGGATGTCACGAAGAAAATAATACTCCAATTACCATTATCAACATCCCTCATTATATATAAATGCATAGTTTTCAAAGCCTATGTGCCAACTTTTGGTGCTTTGTAATCCTATTTGTCAATTTCTGGTGCTTCGTAATCATGTGTCAAATTCTAGTGCTTCAGAGTAATTCATGTAGATTTGAACTTTTATAAACGTCTATTAGGACTTTTGAAATTATAAAACACATTATCAACTTAAATTATAAAATATATTTAAAACTTAATACCATTTTTATTTGTTATTGATTTTTTATATGCGATATCAAATTAATCTTTTATTTTTACGATCTACGATTCTTTATCCATAATGCATATATAAATAAGAATTAAATTATATAATATATCATCATTGAAAATAGTAAAATCATTAATTACTAATTAAATTTGTTTATCTAGCCTATTATGATATAAGTTAGAAAAATAATAGAACGAGCTACTCTTATAGGTAATGATGTCATTTCAAATAAAATAATAAAAAAAAAATTAAAGGAGTATTCAAATCTTTAAATAAAATATTTTATTTCTAATTTTTTTAAGTATAACATTTTCAGTTAACGGCCGTTGTAGTAGTACTAGTATCACCTCTAAAACGAGGTTGATAATTTCATGGTACCTTTTCATTAATATTACTCATGATGCATACCCAGATGTGTGAGTGACTCACTCTTCACATAAAAAATGTCCTCATACAAAGCAACTTAAAAAAGGAATATCAAGTAGGGGAAAGAAAGGTTAGATGAGCCATAACTCAGAAAATTCAAATGACTAGTTCACCAAACCACATTCATCAGGAGCATAATGTATTGAAAATAATTTTCCGGGCTATACAGGACCTTTCTTTTTTAATCTTCCCAAGCACAATCAGTTTCTTAGCTCAGCCCTCATTGGAAGTTTTAGTATGTTAGTGGTGGCCATAACACCGCATAAGACATTGCTTTTGTTACGCGCAGGTCGAGTTACACTATGAGACTTCAAACAATCTGTATTTGCTAATATTAATCAAATATACGATATCATCTTAAACTTCAGGACCCCTCAACACAATCTTTTTGCAAGCCCTGCAGTTATCTTTCTACTTCTTGGTCAAGAACAGCTTTTCATTGCAGCTTTGTATGTTAAATATTACAGAAACATTACAGAACCAAGAAATGAGAAAATGTTCAAATGGCTAATTTTTAGGAATTAGCTGAGCTTCATAAATCTGTCGTAGGTAAGTTTAACTACACAGAAATTTCAAACACCAATGAAACAATTAAAATAGCAGTTGCGAGGGAGGTATCACTAACAAAGGAGGGTGCTGATAGTTAAATAAAAACTATCTCTAAGTTGTAAGTAACTTACCATCTATAGTTTCTGGTACAGCCAAAGCAGCTGCAGCTTGTATTCTAATCTTAAAATTAGAAGAATCCCGAAGCAGTAGTAAAAGGATACTAAAAACAGAAGCAGCCCTGCAAAGTAAAAGAATGAATATGTGAATTTACGCCTACAACTAAAAACAAATATTGCAAGTCCCTCTTTAAATCCTCGGATAGGCTTCCCTTCCAGCAAAAGTAGCATAATGATGGATACTTGTATACTTCAGTAAATCCTATAAGCTAATATGCCATGTCTAAAATTATTTCTCTTTTGTTTTGGTAAAAATCTAGTCTGAAGATACATGCATCTGTTAGCAATTGTCAACATATCCTTTAAGACTACCACTGTTGATGAGCAACAAATAGGTTCCATAATTATTATTTAAAAGACACAAGAAATGTGTTCATGACATTTAGATGGATGCTAATTTAAACCGGTCAATGTCTTGACAAAGAATTTCCTTTATACTGTTAGTAATCAAAGGTGGGATGCTGTGATGGGATTCAAATTCGAATTACAACCAATAAATAAGGTTCTCATTTCCAAGATGGAACATGACACATTTCCCATTCGACTTAAACCAAAAAAAGATCTCAAGACGCATACCTGAATTCAGAAACTAAATTACAGGTCTAAGATTCATGATTCAGATAAGAAATCACGAGTCGATTTATTTCTGGTTAAAGTGATAAAAGATGCAATGTGTGAATTAAAGCATAATTTGAGAGAGGTTACAATACAACTCTTCGAGCCCACCACCTCAGATTTTGAACGAGACCAATTTGAACTGGAAAGTGCAACCAAAACATGGACTCGGTGAAATGTTAATCGTCTATGATGGAATAAACTAATATGTCCTTGATTGAAGAATCTATCAAGTCCAATATAAGTTTACAGTTGCAAAAAATCATGTCTTCTTCATTTCTCAGCAAAAAATCACTGCATGTATTCACAGCGCCACAGACAGAAATGAAGTGTTCTCAATAGTTTTCAACTGAAGTAAATACGCAGATGAAAAGCAAGCCCTCACCAGTCCATGTCCTGCAGTTTCAAAGTTCTGTTGCAAAATAGATTGCGCAATGCATGGCATACATTCCACTGGACCTGCCATGAATTTTCAGTTTCAAGAAAACTGATTCAGCCAATAATGCTTTAAACATATAGCAACACTCACAGTAAACTTCCACAAACCTTTACGTTCCCAGTTGTCACACAAGATAGAAATGTCTGCACCATCTGCTCAAGCCAATTGAGACTCCCCGTAGAAGCTGAACCGAACGAGAGTGACCTTTCTTCAGTATCATCCTTGGGCACATTTTTAATTGCAATACGATCCAGTGGATCATCACGCACAAGTGGTGGACTTGTAAACTGGATACACCTTGAAAGGTTTCCCATAGCCCTAACAGCATTTGCTTTTACCTATAACGCATGAAAAAGAAACAGGTTAATAAAGCGAGAGTACGTATCATAGATGAATTGGAAGAAGGTGACTGGTCCAGACCAAACATGGAGATAGACATTTGAAGCCAGAAGGACAGGCTTTTCTCTTGAGATTTCTTTTTGAATCAAATACTATTATAACCTCTCCAGAGCTTACGAGTCAAAGGTCAACATCACTCGATTTATAAAAGACCGTACATATTCATATATGTTCAAAGAATAACCTGATTTAGCAAAAATATTAAGAACTTAGCATGCGTACCTTGTCATTATCCCTTGCCAGCCGCAAGGCACTGTTAACTAGCAATGATATCAATTCACCACTTCTCCTCGACACTGTCAAAATAATATATTAAGATCTGAGAACAGAAACTGATTTAAAGAATAGTAGATATTATATTCCAACACTGTCACACAACCTCTACCAGCATCAAGTGAATCGCCACAATGACTAAGAGAATCACATATGTTTGCTAAGGCCCATGAAGCTGTAATACGCACCTGGAAGTTGTCATTGAACACATTTTAAAATGTTAAATGAAAGAAATATGAAATAGTTACAGGTAGGCTGCCAGGTGCCTATATCATGCCTTCAAGATACTTTCAGGTCCATTTAAAGGTAACTTGGTAATTAGTATATAATTATACATAAAGTAACAGTTAAAATAATGGATATTTACTGTTGTGGGGGAGGAGAGGGCAAGGCAAGGCGAGAAGAAATTTTTTAGAATAAAAAAAATAAATTTAATAAAAAAAAATCAAATTTAGAGAAAGGAGGCATAGGGGGGAAAACTTACAGAAACCAGTGAGTCATGTGTATTATGCTCTGCAGCATGGATAAACTTTTCCAGAACCTCTACACTGCTAGGAACATAAAAGTAAGGATTTTCTTCCATTACTAGTTACCAACAAATTCATGGTTAACATCATTTATACCTATTGTAAATATGTGGGAAACATCCAATAACACCAATGGCTCGACAAGAAGCTGACCTAACTGAAGGAACCTCATCATTTAGAGCAGCGTTAATCTGCGACAAATTAATACAATAAAGTTACCAAATAAAGTATATCAACCTGCCTCCAGTAGTGGGGTTTAAAGGGATGCTTTTGAATAAAAATGAAGTATGAAATGTGCTGAACATATTTCACGTCATATAAGAGTTTGAGCTTTATTAGAGAACTTACCAAAGAACTTGTAATAAATTCCTGTTTATCCATGGGCAGGGCAAAGAAAACAGAAGAAGTCATTCCAGCAAAACAGGTCACTGATGCAGCTCTTACCTTACCCAAAAGAGCAAAGTGAGATACACTAAACATGTGATACATAAAAGGTAAGTTAGATGTAGCTACTAGTTTCATATTGTTATGAGCTGTAAATATGCGTATTTCATATATCCCACAAAGTACAAGAGAGCCCTATTTATATACACAACTAGGAGAATAATAATCCTAATCAAATCCTAAAAAATTCCCTTAACTGTAGATAGAATAGAATATATTATTTCCTAAAAGAACTATTCTGTATCTACACACTATACACTAACACTCCCCCTCAAGCTGGAGCATATGCATTGATTATGCCCAGCTTGTTACAAATGCCATCAATCCGCACTCCATATACAGCCCCATTTACAGCCTTCGTAAATGTCTCCCAGCTTGTCTTCTGATTTGACATGCTCTGTGTAATGATGAACCGTTCTTCCTTGTCATGAATAAAATGGCTATCAACTTCGATGTGTTTAGTTCATTCATGAAATACGGGGTTGGCTGCAATATGAAGAGCAGCCGATTATATTATCAGGCCAAAGCTAGAGAGTTAAAAGCCAATTTCTTTCATCAATTGATGCATCATACAACCTCACAAATTGCATATAGTCCGCTTCAGCAACTGATCTAGAAACTACATTTTGCTTCTTACTTCGCCAAGAAACTAAATTTTCCCCAACAATAATGCAGTAACCCAAAGTTATTCTCTATCATCTTTGCAGCCTGCATAATCCGCATCAGTGAAGCATACTACTCTAGAGTGATCATGAGAACCGTAATATAATCCATGCCCTGGAGCACCATTTAGATAACCATAAAATTTGCTCCAGAAGAGCCCAATGATTTACAGTGGGTGATGACATAAAGCGACTCGCAACACTCACTGTAAAGGCAATGACTGGGCGTGTTACTGTGAGGTAGTTAAATTTCCCAACAATATCTGACAGAATCATAAAACAGTTCTCCTACCCCCTTTTCTTTTCTGGATATGTGCTGGGTGTTATTGGAGTACAACAACGTTTCACCCCCAATTTTCCTGTTTCTTTGAGTAGATACAGAAAAATTATTTTCCTGTTCCGCATGACTTCTACACCAAGAAAATATTTCAAAGGTCCCATGCTTTGATCTGGAAATGGGTTTGAAGAGAAGTTTTTAACTCCGAAATTCCCATATTGTCACTACCAGTAATCACAATATCATCAACATAAACAAAACAATGGGTAGAATGGCCCCATTTTTGGATTGAATGATTGAATGAGTAGAATGATCCGACTTACATCTAATCATTATAAACTTCAAGACAACTTGCTTGAATCTGTCAAACCACACTCGAGGACTCTGCTTCAAACCATATAATGATTTTTTAAGACGGCAGACCTTCGCATACTCCTCCCATACTTCCCCTGAGCAACAAATCCAGGCCGTAGCTCAATGTAAAATTCCTTGTTAAGAAAACCATGAAGCAAAAAAAAATTTATATCGAACTGGTGAAGTGGCCAATGAGACGAGGCTGCCAATGATAATCGGACAGAGGTCAGCTTAACGCCAGGGAAAAGTCTCAAAGTAATCAGTACCGTAGGTCTGAACATAGCTTTTCGCAATAAGACGTGCCTTTAATTGAGCCAAAGAACCATCCGGATTTACCTTGATTGCGAACACCCATTTACAACCAATGGCAGATATGTCAATAGGTAAGTCTACTAGTGTCCAAGTGCCAATGTGATCAAGGGCATTCATTTTCTCAACCATGGCCGCCTGCCAACCAGAATGTGCCAAAGCCTCACACAGTTTTAGGTACAGAAATAGAGCCAATTTAGGCAATATGGCTACAAGAAGAAGCAGATAGTCGATCATAAGAAGCGAAAGAACCAATGGAATAGATGCAAACGCTTTTCGAAGAGCTATATGAAGATCACAAAAGGAAGGGTCTTGCACAAGAGCATTAGGAGATGGTGGATTATCCGACGCAACAGCTGGTGGAGGAGATGAATTTGCAGGCCTGCGTTCGTGAGTGGGACGCGGCCTTCTTGTGTAGACCTGAATGCCTTGAGGGCGTGTGGTGTAGGTGAAGGAAGAGAAGGTAACTCTGAAGGAGAAGAAGAATGGGGAATGGAGTAAAACAAAATGTCATACTGTAGCTGCGGCGGAGAAGTAGTGGTCCGGTAGAATGGGACATTTTTTGAAAAGTGACATCTGTGGATATAATATACCGGTTAAGAGCATGAGACCATGAGAGAAGAACTGATACCCATCTGTAAATGTGAATACCTAAGGAAGATACATGTTAGAGACTTGGGATATAGCTTACTAATCATGAATCCCGAACAAAACATGTACTTTCAAAACCACGAGGCGACATAGGAAAAAGGGATTTTTTGGGAATAAGACTGAGAAAGAAGTTTCACCATGAAGCACAACCGAAGGCATACGATTATTTAAAAAAAAAAAAAAAAAAAAAAAAAAAAAAAAAAAAAAAAAAAAAAAAAAAAAAAAAAAAAAAAAAAAAAAAAAAAAAAAAAAAAAAAAAACATGCACCGGAGACAGCATCCGCCTAGAAATGCTTGGGGATACTCATTTGAAACAACAAAGCTCGACCAACCTCAATGAGGTGTTGATTTTTACGTCCAGCCATTTTGGCCTAGTTATCAACACTACACCACATGAAGACTCATGCAAAATACCATGATGAACATCTGCGGAAATATATTCTTTTGCATCATCAATTCGCAAAATGCTAACAGAAGTTTGAAATTGAGTATTAATCTCAGCACAAAAAGAAGAAAAATGTTGAAAATTTGTAGAGCGATTTTTCATGTGATAATGCCAAGTAACACGAGAGTAATCATCAATAAAAGTAACGAAATATTTTAAACCGGATTTAGACACAACTGCACTAAAACGCCGCGCCTCATAATGAACTAACTCAAATGGGGATGCAGCCCTTTTATTAATCGTAGGACCTAAATGAACACGTGAGTGTTTGGCAAACTGACATGAATCACAAGATAAGGAGGATAATTGTGGACACATCTTAAGATTCTAAAGAGAAGGATGGCCCAACCGACATTGTAATTCTAATGGTGAGGAGGTAGATCAAACAAGAGAGCGTGGCCCCAAAGTCTCAAGCACATAAATCCCATCAGATTCATAACCTTTACTTCGTCGAAAGATTCTGAAAAATGAAATGATCTGGAAAACATGAGATGCTACTGTTACAAACCTTAGGGTTTTGGATGAATAGAATGACGACAAGTGAGGATGGATGCCCATATATATAGACTTAGGGTCTTAAGTGAATATGGGCTGGGCCTATAATAGTTAACACCCCCTTCAAACTCAAGGTGGAGGTGGTCGATCCGAAGCATTGAGTTTGAGCAAGTGAAGCCGGTGTTGCTCTTTAGTTTGTGCTTTGGTGAAAAAGTCAGCCACTTGCAGTTCCGACAGCACATACTGAAGAATAACTGTTTTGTTTTCTGATGACAGTGAGATCGGGTAAAAGAAGCATCAACACCAATGTGTTTTGTAAGTTCATGCTTTACTGGATCATTGGCAATTTGAATTGCTCAGTATTATCACAAAGAAGAGGCCTAGGATCATCACATGGAATACCAAAATCGGCTAGCAACCATCGAAGCCATATAATTTCTGAAGTAGTAATAGCAAGTGCTCGAAGTTCGGCCTCTGTACTAGATCGAGATACAGCTGCCTGCTTCTTGGACTTCCATGTAAGGGGAGAAGAACCAAGAAAAATGCAATAAACGACGATCAGTTGGATTACTCGCCCAAGTCGAATCCGAGTAAGCGTGAAGCTGAAGCGGACTATCACGAGCATAAAATAAACACTGAGATGATGTTCTCCTTAAGTATCGTAGCACGCGAAGCAAATGCCCAAAATGAACGGATTGCGTGAGCAATGTCAGGCCTGGTAACAGTAAGATAAACAAGACTGCCTACAATATGGCGATAGTGAGAGGGATCCTCAAGAGGAGTACCATCAGTAGGACGAAGCTGTAAGTGAAGATCCATAGGTGTAACCGTTGTCCGATTATCAGTAATACCGGAACGAACAAGAAGGTACTGTATGTATTTGGACTGAGAAAGGTAATAGCCCGAGGCAGAATGCATCACCTCAATGCCCAAAAAGTAGCTAAGGGGGCCCAAATCAGACATCTGAAATTGTTGACCAAGTTGCTTTTTGACATGGGAAATATGCTCTTCATCATCTCCCGTAATCAACGTATCATCAACATATAGAAGAAGTAGAGTACGCCCACGTGAAGAGAGATGAATAAACAAAGCAGGATCATGATCACTAGGGGAGAAACCAACAGCCCGTATGACAGAGACAAAAAGCTCAAACCAAGCACAAGGAGCCTGTTTAAGACCATATAATGCACGACGAAGACGACAAACATGTCCAGAGGGGGCATCAACACCCGGTGGTGGCTGCATATAAACTTCCTCATGCAAATCACCATGAAGGAAAGCATTCTTCACATCCATCTGAGATATGGTCCAGGAACGAGTAGCAGCCACTCCAATCAAAGTACGATCAGTAGTCATGTGAGCAACGGGAGCAAAAGTCTCATCATAATCTCGCCCCTGAGTCTGCTGAAAGCCTCTAGCAACAAGACGAGCTTTATATCTCTCAATGGAACCATCTAACTTGGTCTTAATCTTAAAGACTCACTTACAGGTGATGGGCACGGCATGTAATGGTAATGAAACAAGATCCCAAGTGCCAGTACGATCAAGTGCAGCAAGTTCCTCTGACATAGCCAGTTGCCACTCTGGAATACTCGAAGCTTCCTTATAAGTTGAGGGCTCATCAATAATAGCACCCGCACGTGGAAAGCCCAACTTATCAGGAGGCACAATAGTAGCACGATCACGTAAATTATATCTCTGGCCAACTTCAGATTCTCCAGGAATGGCATGTGACACATCAGGATCAACAGAATCATCTAGGACAGAAGCATCAGGACTGGCCACTGGAGTAGAATGAGGCGGAAGTG